AAAAACACTTACCCAAAAGAAGAGTGTAACTAACATATTAATAAGTTCTCACTTCATTATTGCTCTTCTAATTTATAGGAAAGCTCCCTGGTATGCAGAGATATCACTATGCACATTTATCATATATGGAAAATGATAGATAAAGTTTCAAACTTTGCAATCCCACCATTGTAACATATTGGCAGTCATCTACTAGTAATAGGAGAAATAATTCAATCCTTTTGAACATGAAGAAAAACCATTCATGAAACACTGATCAAATTTAAAGTCAAAGTTTTGATAAAAGGTTGAAGCAAAGCATGGAGTTGATGACAAAGATTAGTGAGGAGCTGAGTAAAACACCAAGTGAAGGTCCAATACTTAGAGTAGGATGAAATAAATACATGGGATAGGAGCTAAGTTCGCAGAATCATATATGACGCTAAAATGATAAATTACTTAAGACTATCAATATATGGACCAAGTTTGGTTATATCAAATGTGAAGCATTAGGCGTTTGACAGAGAATTCTTCTAGTCACTTAGTTGAGATGTGAGAACAAAGAGAGAAACTTATCGGAATTTATATAGAAAGCAGAGGAATTCTTCAAGAGAAATCGAAAAGAGTAACAAGACAACAAGTGTAAGACTCATGAATCTGATCGTTTTAGTGAATAACTAATCCAAAGTTAGCTTAATTTGAAACTTATGTATGCAGTATGCTAAACACGTTAAGGAAAAACATGCCCAAAGATAATCATTTATCACATTTCATAATCCAATAAGATAGTAATTTCCCATCCAAATTCATAACTTCAACCCTTGAACCTATGACATGCTGATTTTTGAACCAAAACTAATACGAGGCAGATTCTAGAAAAATTCAACAACAGAAAACTAGATCAAAGATGAGGACATTTAAACGACCATAATCGATTCATGAAAAAAAAAAAACTAAAAATAGGGGAGATTACGGACCTTGTGTAGAGCAGCAAACAAGAGCTTCAACGTCAAGCGATTTCAACTTCAAAATTCCTCGAAACTCAAATTCAAAATCGACAAACGGAACAATGAAAGAAGATTGAAATTTTCTGAAAAAAACTAACGGTTGGAGTGTGCTTCTTCCCTCTTTTCTGTTGTTCTCCCGATGATTTTTTTCGATGTCCCTCTTTCTCTGTTTTTTGGATGCCCTCGAATGAGAACCAAAGGGCTGATTTTATAGACGAATTTGGGGGGAGGCTTCCAACCTCATACCCATTAGATTAACGGTGTAACCAATCAAAATACGATAGTTCTTCGCGTCCTCCGCTTTTCAGGCGGAGCAATGATGATGGTCGAGACTTCTAGGCCTGCTTTAGGTCATAAATTAATCGAAAAAGATGTAAAGTTGATAGAAAAGGGGTTGTGATTGATGGACGATGGATGGGGGAAGAGGTGACGTTGGAGACCACCGGATATTGTTGTTTTCGGGCGGACCATGGCCGTTTGTTTGGCAGTGAATGACGGGCGATTGATGAGACAGGACGAAGGGGTGTGGGGAACATGAAGTCATAAAGTAAGAGACCGCCGGAAATTAACATTTTTCGGCGGTTCATAGCCGTTCTCAGCAGACGCGGTGGGAGAGGAGAGGAGCGTCTGGGGAAGGAGAAGGTTGTTCTAGGAAAAGAGCGATGTTGGGAAAAGAAAGGTTGGGCGGTGTACTATTTTTTTAGAAAAGAAGAAAGCAATTTGGGATTTAATTTGGGTCGTCCGATCGTTTGATCGGACGGTTAAAATAAATCAAAAATTAAAAGGAAAAGTTTTATATATATATTAAATAATGGTAAAAGCTCAATTAACTAGGACCGTTAGATTTAATCGTAGGGTCAAGATTTAAGCTAAAGAAACACAATCCATGTGCTCGCCTACATGACACACACGGATTGGCCGGTTTAAGGGAACTTGGATTGCCAAAATTATTCAAATTAAATTCATTTAAATTATAACCTCTCCTTTATTAAATAGTCATAATTTATTAAATTAAAAACAATTATTTTGCAAGATTAGCTTGTTTGATAAATTTAGTCACTCTTAAAAATTAAATTAATATAAATTAGTAACTCATTAATTAAATAAGCTTTTTAATTTTAATAAATGTATGAAAAATATCCATTCCGACAAAATAAAATTATATTTGAATACAACTAGATTCAATTCTTTAAGAATGACACTTATTTAAAAAATGAGAAAGTAAGTAGTGATATAATATATTTAATTTTTATAAGAAAAAAAATTATGAGGTAAAAAATAAATAATTAAAAATATTTTTCGTGTTCCTACAATTAATTTCATAACACATATATTATTATTATTATTATTATTATTATTATTCTTATTATTATTGTTAAATGTGAAGAGCCAAAATTGGGTGTCAACAGCGTGCCCCTTTCTTTGTCCATGGAAGAGAGTAAAGAAGACGTGGACAAAGAAATATTGACATTATCCAATTTTAGGCGACTCACCAAAATACACTTTGAGCAATAACTTGGCAAGAATGGTTATGGAGTTATGGCCGAACTCTGGCTCCTGAGTTGCCTACATATCTCAGGTTTCATGAGAAATCAGGCCGTATGTAGTTCGAGAAAATAGCAAATTTTTATTAAAAATTTGCCCCAGTATTGAATTATGGTAATACTGGAATCTTTTGGTGGTGAGGTATGAAGAGATTAGCACGAATAGAGGGGTGAGATATAGTTCTAAAGAAACTTTAATGAGAAATGCTCTGTAGCAATTTCTACTGAAGACTCAAGGTAGATAGACGAATTTTCAAAAGGATGCCCCAGTGTCGAGTTACAATGACCTGAGACATGAAAGAGCTATAAGTGAACTTTAAATCTGAACTTCTGAAAATCGAGTTGAGTTGAGTTTTGAAAGTGAATCCTTGACATAGCTAGTGATGCTTGACATTGCACTAACTTGCCCAAGTTTGCTGCTAAGAGGGAGTTCCTCGTTGTAATGTTTTGTCCTGCAAAACATGTAAAAGGGTGAAAAGTACATGTTGCGGTTCAAAAATTATAAATTGAATAGTAATGTAAAGAGTAGAGTGTAGATGTTCAAACGACTGTTGATGTTTCTTTTTGTGTTGTGAGTGTGATGTGGGTAAAGTAACTTGTAATGTAGAGGCCCTCGACTGGCGGGGAGGTTGTAATGTAAAAGCCTGCATCTGGCTGTGTAAAGCTTGTAATGTAAAGCCTCCGGCTAGCGGGGCTGTTGTAATGTAAAAGCCTGTATCCGGCTGTGTAAAGCTTGTGATGTAAAGCCTCTGGCTGGCGAGGCTGTTGAAATATGAAAGACTGTATCCGGCTGTGTAAAGCTTGTAATGTAAAGCCTCCGGCTGGCGGGGCTGTTGTAATGTAAAAGCCTGTATCCGGCTGTGTAAAGCTTGTAATGTAAAGCCTCCGGCTGGCGGGGCAATTGTAATGTAAAAAGCTTGTATCCGGCTGTGTAAAGCTTGTAATGTAACTCCTCCGGCTGGCGGGGTTGTTGTAATGTAAAAGCATCTATCTGGCTATGTAAAGATTGTAATGTAAATTTAATCATCGGCATGTGATAGTGTTTCTATGTGTGCTTGCCCCCGATCGATGGAGCTTCAGTGACGTCACTACGATGTGGTCTCCGACTGGCGGAGTATTGCTTCTTTTGCTTATATACATGCTCTGATTGGCGGAGTTCGGTCGATGTTTGCTATGTACAGCCTCCGATTGGCGGAGTTTGATGATGTTTGCTATGTACAACCCCAGACTTGTGGAGTTTGGCGCTGTTAGATAGTGGTCTCCGATTGGTGGAGTTATTGATGAGGTTAGATTACAAGCTCCAGTTGGTGGAGTTATTTCGAAAGAAAGCTAACTATTATATTTTCCTACGAGGATTCTCTTTCTTCAGCATTTGCTCTGGATCTTTGAGCGTACCTGCAAAGATTTAAACAAAATATATTGTAGTCATAAGATGTAAGTTGAAGTATTTCCAGGAAATAAAGTAGAGAAAGAGTATTTTAGCTCATGATTGTGAGAAATCGAATGGCGTTTCTGGTCATGCCCCGAGACTTGATGTTATTTTCTTGATTTTTATGTTCCTGCACTCAAAGAAAATTTTAGTTTTGGGATGGGGTGTTGATTTGCATCGACTTGTGGACTGAAGCCTCGTCACTAGAATCCTTCGACACCTTGTCAGTACCGCACATAGTTTCTTAACCTAGAGACTTGCTAGATAGATGAGTCAAAAAAATATTTTTGAAAAAAATTAGCTCGTTTTTCTAGAAAATAAGTATACTACGTATATTAGATACATATATATATGGTAATTCTCCAGCGTTTAAGATTATGACATGTTCCGAAGTCCATCGAGCTTTCCATTTTGTTGACTATATCCAACGTAGGCCTCCTGTAACTTTTACCCTTTTGATGAGGCTTTTCCTAACTTTTTTGCAGACACTGCGACGATCGATATTCTTCAATATTCTGAGGTTACGCTAACTATGAGGAATGTTTCCTAAGGGTATGCAGAGAATTGATCGAGCCTGACTCAGGCTGCCTACGTATCCCCAAAATAGGAATCAAATCATAACGTAGTTCGAATACAAGTGGGAGAAATAAAAGTATGTAATGCAATAATCGAGCTTGATTCAAGCTGCCTACGTATCCAAGCGGAATCAGGTCAGTACGTAGTTCAAATACAATAGAAAAGTAAAAAAATGCAAGGGAAAAGTAAGAATATGTAATGCAATGACCGGGCCTGACTCAGGCTGCCTACGTATCCAAGCGGAATCAGGTCAGTACGTAGTTCAAATACAATAGGAAAATGAAAAATGCAAGGGACCGAATCCGACAAGGATTGCCTACGTATCCCACCGAGGGAATTCATGTCGAGCGTAGTTCTAAATACATGGAAAAGATGATTTTGGGTTTTCTAAGAGAGACCGGATCCGATGTGGGTTGCCTACGTACCCCACCGTGGGAAGTCAGGTCTAGACGTAGTTCTATTACATTAAACAATGCAAAAGTACACAAAATAAACGCTAATCTTGAGGTCTTCAGATGTAGTATTTCTTGATGGCGTCTTGATTGGCTTTGTGCTCACTCTGCCGTCCATTTCTGCTAAGATTACCGCTCCTCCTGAGAGTACACTATGATTCATGTAGGGTCCTTGCCAATTTGGTGCAAATTTCCCTTTGGATTCTCCTTGGTGAGGAAAGATCTTCTTCAATACCAGCTTCCTCGGTGTGAACCGTCGAGGTTTGACTTTCTTGTTGAACGCTTTGGTCATTCTGTTTTGATAGAGTTGGCCATGACAAATCACGTCCATCCTCTTTTCATCGATGAGCATCAATTGTTCATGCCTACTACATATCCATTTTGCATCGTCCAAACCAACTTCTTGGATAATCCTTAAAGATAGTATTTCCACCTCAACAGGTATTACTGCTTCTGAACCATAAACCAACATATAAGGAGTTGCCCCAATTGATGGTCTGATTGTGGTGCGATAACCAAGTAAAGCATATGGTAACTTTTCATGCCATTGCTTGTGACTGTCCACTATTTTTCTTAGGATCTTTTTGATATTCTTATTTGCAGCCTCAACTGCTCCATTCATCTGTGGCCGGTAAATCGTGGAATTTTGATGAGCAATCTTGAACCTTTCATAAGTTTCCCTCATAATATCGTTGTTGAGGTTGGCTGCATTATCTATTATGATTGATTCTGGAATTCCAAACCGACAAACTATGTTGTTGCGAACAAAGTCTGTCACTACCTTCTTAGCCACTGCCTTGTATGTCGAAGCTTCGACCCATTTTGTGAAATAATCGATAGCCAACAGAGTGAAACAATGTCCATTTGACGCGGGAGGCTTTATGGGTCCAATAACATCCATGCCCCAAGCAGCAAATGGCCAAGGGGAACCTATCACATTGAGCTCACTCGGTGGAACCCGTACAAAATCTCCATGCACTTGACACTGATGACATTTTTGCACATACCGAATGCTATCTCTCTCCATGGTCATCAAAAAATACACGGCTCTTAGAGTCTTCTTTGCCAAAGTGAACCCATTCATGTGAGGTCCGCATGTTCCTGCATGTATTTCTTCCAAAAGCCTTGTCGCTTCTGCGGCGTCGACGCACCTCAACAATCCTAAATTTGAAGTTCTCCTATACATGATTTCTCCGTTAAGGAAGAAATTATTGGCCATCCTTCTCAAAGTCTGTTTCTGGTTTCTTGTGGCATTTTCAGGATATTCTTGTGCTTCTATCAATCTTATGATGTCATAGTACCAGGGTTTTCCATCCAATTCCTCATCTACATGAAAACAGTATGCATGTTGATCATGCATCTCTATATCGATAGGGTCGATGTAATTCTTGTCTGGGTGTTGAATCATCGAGGACAATGTTGCCAAAGCATCGGCAAACTCATTTTGAGTTCGAGGGACATGCTTGAACTCAATCCTTGCGAATCTCCTACTCAACTCTTTAATGCAATGCAGATAAGGCAGGATCTTGACATTCTTAGTGGTCCATTCTCCTTGCACCTGGTGAACCAATAAATCGGAATCTGCTATCACCAAGAGTTCTTTGATGTTCATGTCGATGGCCATCCTGAGTCCGAGAATACAAACTTCATATTCCGCCATGTTATTGGTACAATATAACCTAATCTTAGCTGAGATTGGGTAACACTGACCTGTTTCTGAAATTAAAACTGCTCATATTCCAACTCCAATAGAGTTTGATGATCCATCAAAGAACATTCTCCATCCATCATATGACTCTATATCTTCTCCAACAAACAAAACTTCTTCATCAGGGAAGTAGGTTGTGAGCGGCTTGTAATCTTGGTCCATCGGGTTTTCTGCGAGGTGATCAGCCAAGGTTTGTCCCTTGATGGACTTCTGTGTCACATATACAATATCAAACTCGCTCAACAAAATTTGGCACTTCGCCAGTTTACCCGTAGGCATGGGCTTCTGAAAGATGTACTTTAGTGGATCCATTCTTAAGATCAAGTACGTGGTGTATGTAGACAGGTAATGCCTAAATTTTTGTGCAATCCAAGTCAAAGCGCAACATGTTCGTTCCAACAGGGTGTATCTTGCCTCGTACGGTGTGAACTTCTTGCTCAGATAGTAAATGGCTTGCTCGATTCTACCTGTCTAATCATGTTGCCCCAATACACATCCAAATGCATTATTCGTGATAGATAGATACAATAACAAAGGATTTCCAGGCTCTGGTGGGACCAATACTGGTGGGTTGGACAAGTATTCTTTGATTCTATCGAAAGCCCTTTGGCATTCCTCTGTCCATTTTGTGGCAGCATCCTTCTTCAGTAACTTGAATATGGGTTCGTAGATCACTGTAGATTGAGCTATGAACCTACTGATGTAATTCAGTCTTCCCAAGAAACTCGTCACGTCTTTCCTGGTCTTGGGTGGAGGTAGCTCTTGGATTGCCTTTATCTTTGATGGATCCAACTCTATGCCTTTCCTGCTAACGATGAATCCTAATAGTTTTCCCGCGGGTACTCCAAATGCACACTTTGCTGGATTCAACTTCAGATTATACTTACGCAACCTCTCGAAGAACTTTCGTAAGTCATCCAGGTGGTCTGAACTTCTTTTGGATTTGATAACGATATCATCCACGTACACTTCAATTTCTTTGTGGATCATATCGTGAAAAAGGGTAGTCATAGCCCTCATGTAGGTTGCACCGGCATTTTTGAGACCAAATGGCATTACTCTGTAGCAATACACTCCCCATGGAGTGATAAACGTTGTCTTCTCTGCATCATCTTCATCCATCAGGATTTGGTGATATCCTGCAAAGTAATCGACAAATGATTGTAACTCATGTTTTGCACAATTATCGATGAGTATATGAATATTTGGAAGAGGGAAATCATCCTTAGGACTGGCCCTGTTGAGATCTCGATAGTCCACACATATTCTGATTTTTCCATCATTTTTTGGCACAGGCACAATATTGGCTAACCATGTGGGATAATTTGTGACCCTTACAATGTTTGCCTCAATTTTCTTAGTTACCTCCTCATTGATCCTTAAGCTCAAATCCGGCTTGAATTTTCTTGTCTTTTGCTTAACAGGTAGACAAGTGGGATCAGTCGGTAATTTGTGTGAGACAATAGCAGTGCTTAATCCTGCCATGTCATCATAAGACCAAGCAAATACGTCAACATACTGCTTAAGCAATTCTATTAACTCTTGTTTTCTTTCAGCCTCCAAATGTATGCTGACTCGTGTCTCCTTCACGATTTCCTCATCTCCTAAGTTGACAACCTCTGTTTCATCCATATTGGGTTTCTTCTGACTTTCTACCTGCTCGATCTCGTGTGGCAGATTTTCAGGCATCATGCTTTCATCATACTCTTTGTGATCTTGTTCATCATTTTCACCTTGCTCGGTGGATTCATTTCATGTCATAATTGTTGAATGAGAATTTTAGTGCTGAAAAGTCCAAAAGGTAAGTAAAAATAAATAGATATTTAAAATAACGAGATTTTTTTAAAAAGAAAATAAAGACTTTTATTTCAAAGCATTCTAGCTTTTAGAAGAGACAAGCAACAAAAGATTGGGCATGATTCAAGCCTCAATTTGATCATGCGAATTTTTAAAACTAAGACTACTTTTCGACACTACCAGGACTCTGGTTGAAACAGGGACGGGTTGGTGGTCCAATTCTGCAAGATTTCTCCAGGTTTGGCATCACGAATGGTCAACTTGTTGAGATTTATCCCTTCCTCTTCTCCAGCCATGGCCACGAACAGATTGCCTAATCCTTCTACGATGTCATCAACACCAGCTTGATCTAGAATCAAAGCTTGTTCTGGTACAAAGATTGTATCGCTTGACCTGTGACAGTCTCTTCCTGAAGCAGGCTCATATCCTAGTCTGTTGGTGCCTCTCTGATGCTTCAGCTGGATCGGCTCAACTATGCCATTAGACTTAGGTCCAAGTCCATTCTTAGGCTGATATCCATACTTCAACATTTCTGACGCAACTATTTTCGCTGCACTTGACAACTTGGTATCTTCGGGCTCTGCTCCCTCATTGACCCTTATCGCTTGCATGATTTCCATAGTGTGAAAAGTGGATCCGTCTAGCTCATCGGTGACTGCGATAGAATTAAAAGAATGAATGGGGTGACTAACTCTCCGTGGATGGTAACTTCTATGCGGCCCCACTCAAACTTTACACATTGGTGAAGAGTGGAAGGAACCGCTCTTGCCATGTGAACCCATGGTCTTCCCAGCAACAGGTTGTAGTTGGATGAGACATCCATCACTTGAAATAGGATGGGAAATTCTGCCGGCCCCACTTGCAATGTGAGATAGATCTCTCCAATAACACTTCTTTGCGCTTCATCAAAGGCTCTGACTTTCACACGACTTTCCCGTATCTCTCCCATATTAACACCTAAATCCCTTAGAGTGGTGAAAGGACAGATGTTGCATCCAGAGCCACCACCAATTAAAACTCGAGTCACAATTTTATCACAACATTTGACTGCGATGTGAAGCGCTTTGTTGTGACCAGCCCCTTTTACAGGCAGCTCATCATTGTGGAAAGAAATCTTGTTCGCTTCCACTATTCTTCCAATCATTGCAACTAAGGTCTCACTTGTGGTCTCTTTTGGAAGTATCACTCCGTTTAACACCTCCATCAAAGCATTCCTATAAGCTTCAGAACTCATAAGCAAAGACCAAATGGATATGTGGGCTGGCGTCTTCTTCAACTGTTCTTTAACCAAATAGTCTTTAGACCGCATCTTCTTCCAAAACTCTGTGGCTTCAGCATCGGTAACATTCTTCTTTGGATTATGTTCTTTTTCGAGAACTCTTTGATTTAGGTCCTCCGAGGCGTAGCACCTCCCCGACCTAGTCATCCCTTGAGCCACGGCAGTGTCAATCATCTTGCCGTTGGCGTCCGCTTGATAATCCCATGGGACTGCTTTGGTGTCATACTCAGGCTTTCTAGCAATTCGAGTGGTCACTACAACTCGTGGGAGATATGTTTGGACAGTCAGATGTTCCCTTAGTTGAAAAGTGATAATAGATTGCGCCAAAGATGTCATGGCATCCGCTTCATCTATGTTTGGATAGTCGGGGGTCCCATATTCGTCATCCAGAGTAACCATGTTGACTTCCCAATTCTCATGATTTGGCAAGGGATTGTTGTTCACATTGAGAGGTGCTGGAGTGCATTTGATTACTCCTCTCCTGATCAAAGACTCAATCTGGTTCTTCAAACCATAACAATCTTTTGTGTCGTGTCCCTGGACTCCCGAGTGGTAAGCACATCGCTTGTTCCCATCAAAATTAAGAGGATTGGATCAGGTAGTTTTCCTTCAACTGGTTGCAGCACTCCCGCTGTCCTCAACCTCTCAAACAATTAAGCATAGGGTTCAGCAATCGGTGTGTAAGTGCGAGCATTTCTAGCTTCAGGATTTGGATGTGGTCTCGGTGCATATACTAGTCTATTTTGGTGAATTGGTGCTTAGACATGGACATATGGTCTTCAAGGGTTTTGGTATGCTGGTGCTCGGGGTGGATTATAGTGTGGTTGGGTATTATACACTGGGGCGTATGAAGTATGAGCAGCGATTTGGGGATTATTGGGGTATCGGTGAGATGGTCCTCCTGGTGGGTAAGTGACAGCTGAAACATCCTCCCTTTTCTTTTTGATGCCGCCAATGGAACCCGATTGTATAGCCCTACTTGCAGCTTGCAATGCGACCATAGACTGAATCTTCCCAGATTTAACACCCTGTTCTATAAAGTCTCCCATCTTGACCAATTCTGCAAACTTCTGACCCATCATTGACATCATCTTGTCAAAGTAGATACCTTCTTGAGCTTGAATAAAGTACTTCGAGAGCTCACTCTCATCTAGTGGTGGTTGCACCCTCGCGGCCTCAGTTCTCTAACGTCGTGCATATTCTTGGAAATTCTGAAAATTCTCAAATGGCTTCTTCTGTATATTGGCCAATGAGAATCTGTCAGCAGTAATTTCAGTACTGAATCTGAAACGAGTCATGAAGTCCTCAGCCATTTCCTGCCAGTCACGTCATTTGCGAGGGTCTTAGCAGGTATACCAGGTTAATACTTCTCCAGACAGACTCCGAATGAACAACTTCATCCTCAACTTCTCATTTCTCCCTACACCGACTAACTTGTCACAGTATGCCCTCAAATGTGCGTGTGGGTCGCCTTTTCCATCGAACATGTCAAACTTCGGTGGTTTGTACCCTACCGGTATGTCAATGTCTGGATGGATACACAAGTCATCATAATCCAGACTTTCTGTCCCTCTAGTGACTTGTAAGCTTTTCAATGTTTTTCTCAGACCCTGAAGCTGGGCATTTATTGATGCATCTTCTTTCAATCGAGCATCTTTCTCCATTTCTTCATATTGATCGCCTTCGTACGGGATATTAACCACAACTGGCGTTGTGAAGGTAGAAGCTCCAGCAGCATATACAGGTGGAACATGTGTCTCATAGGGAGCGGTGACATGAGCCCCAAGTATCTAATGCATTGAAGGTATGGTAAAGCTGCGATTAGAAAGGTCAGGAATGGTCCTGACTACGGTTGGAGAAGCTGGTGGAACTTGAT